CATTTTCAAGATTGAGTTACAATGATAAACTGGAGTGGCAAAGGATCAGCTGCATGACCCGCCATCAAGTGCTTCATCCAAAAGGACAGGAGGATGGACTTTGTGTTGAAGTGAATTGATCATTAAAGGTAGGCCTAAGTCATTTTCAATGTGGGCCGCCGTGCCGACGCAATTCATTTGTAATTGTTACTTGGCTGTGGGTGCCCTGTCATGATAGGTGTTTATATAAATGGTGTTGTTTTGTGTGGTAGAGGGTCGCTGTCATTGATGCGTTTTGCACCCCGGGCCGCTGTTTTGATATTCTGCTGAAGTATACGCTGTGACGTAATAACTCTTCTTTATTTTCATCACTTTAGTTGAAAATAAGGAGCCCCTCCCCACGCCCCTCTGAGAGAGATTTGGTTAAAAATAACTCAATGGTGCTCTAGGAGGAGATTCAGGTGATAAGGGAGGGGGGGGGTTACCTTGGTTGCTGATTGGCTAATGGTTACACAAGACAAAACATCGTTATGACATCATCAAGTGGCCAAAATCTGATCAGCTCATTTTCAGACAAAAAGAGAGAGAATCTTTGTTCCTGAAACTTTCAGAGTCTCTTTACACAGAGGACACATGTTGATGTAGAAGAGACATGAAGAAGAGGGGACACATGTTGATGTAGAAGAGACATGAAGAAGAGGGGACACATGTTGATGTAGAAGAGACATGAAGAAGAGGGGACACATGTTGATGTAGAAGAGACATGAAGAAGAGGGGACACATGTTGATGTAGAAGAGACATGAAGAAGAGGGGACACATGTTGAAGTAGAAGAGACATGAAGAAGAGGGGACACATGTTGATGTAGAAAAGACATGAAGAAGAGGGGAAACATGTTGATGTAGAAGAGACATGAAGAAGAGGGGACACATGTTGAAGTAGAAGAGACATGAAGAAGAGGGGACACATGTTGATGAAGAAGAGACATGAAGAAGAGGGGACACATGTTGATGTAGAAGAGACATGAAGAAGAGGGGACACATGTTGATGTAGAAGAGACATGAAGAAGAGGGGACACATGTTGATGTGGAAAAGACATGAAGAAGAGGGGACACATGTTGATGTAGAAGAGACATGAAGAAGAGGGGACACATTTTGAGGAAGAAGAGACATGAAGAAGAGGGGACACATGTTGATGTAGAAGAGACATGAAGAAGAGGGGACACATGTTGATGAAGAAGAGACATGAAGAAGAGGGGACACATGTTGAAGTAGAAAAGACATGAAGAAGAGGGGACACATGTTGAAGTAGAAAAGACATGAAGAAGAGGGGACACATGTTGAAGTAGAAAAGACATGAAGAAGAGGATTGTTCACAATAGGTGACCTTTAAACTCAAACTATATGCTGCTTCTAATAAACATATAAAGAAACACGTGAGATGTCGGAATAAAATACATAACTTCACCAATTCAGGTATTTGAATTGTGTACAGGGCCATATCTCCACAATGCAACGGGCCAGGAAGATGATATCTGGACTGTTTCATGCATCCTACCCAAAGATTGTGTGGCTATATTTTGGAGATGATTGGACAACCTTTGGTGTTTGGACGATTGTAGGACTTAAAGGTGGGGTAGGTAAGTTTGAGAAACCGGCTCGAGATACACTTTTTGTTATATTCCATGGAATGCTCTTAACATCCCGATAGCAATGAATATCTGAAGTGCTTTGACAAGAAATCCATAAATAAATATCATCTGTGGAAGCTGTAGTACTGTAAAAAGCACGACCAATCATCTGAGCCGGCCCGGCTAAAATAACTGGATGGCCTACCTGCCTGTCAGCCTTCCATCTGTGCACAAACTTATCTCGTGCCCTCATTGGTCATGTGCGCGTTCGTGTGTGTTGGAGGAGGGGCTCTGTGAGGAAGTGGCAGATTTTCTCCGGCTGTGTATTTTCAAATTAGCGCACTCGAGCCGGTTTCTCAAACTTACCTACCCCACCTTTAAGGAACATCTGTTGTGTTAATAACCTTTTTTTTTAAATAAATTATTGATCGATCAAGTTCGATGTTGTCAATATCTTTCTTACTTCAACAAAGCTCCCTTTTAGATGGTAAATAGGAACAACTTAAACACCGGCAGTACGAGCTGTTAATGTTAAGATATACTATATGATATAAGATCAGAACAGATATGCAGTTTAAAAATACAGTTGATAGTAAAAGTAATGCATTCAAATTTGTACTTAAGTAAAAGTACAACAGTTTTAGCATCAAAATATACTTTAAGTGGGAGGTTAGGGTTGATTTGGTTTACTATATGTAATCATTTATAAACTACTGGATACACCTTAGCCTATAACAATGTATGATAATGTGAGTGTGATACTGCAGGGATATTCTGGGTCACAGTGTCTTCAGTAACACACACACTCACACTCACACACACTCACACACACACACACACACACACACACACACTCACACTCACACACACACACACACACACACACACTCACACACACACACACACACACTCACTCACACTCACACACACACACACTCACACTCACACACACTCACACACACACACACACTCACTCACACTCACACACACACACACACACACATACACTCACACACACAGACATTCACACAGGTGCAGTGTGCAGCGCCCTCGTTTCTCTGCTCTGTGACCACTTCCTGTCTCTGCAGCTCATAGACAGGAAGTCAGAGACGAGCTTCCTGTCGTTCTTCTGCTCGAGTTTCCACTGAGAGTCAGTCAGGAAACAACAACAGGCCTGATGTAGAAACACCGGCAAAGTGTGTGTTGAAAAGTGTGTGTGAGCATTCAGGACAAAACGCCTGAAGGGTTAAGGAAAAGAAAGATGTTCATAAACGCTTTCATATATTTGTTAAACACCTCTAAAAGCAAATATAAAATGGGTTAGTCTACTTAACAACAATTTCCAATTATACAAAATAAACTGTAACTTCATTTAATCCCAGATTCCAGATTTACACATGAATATGTGTGTGTGTGTGTGTGTGTGTGTGTGTGTGTGTGTGTGTGTGTGTGTGTGTGTGTGTGTGTGTGTGTGTGTGTGTGTGTGTGTGTGTAAAGTTTAAAGTAGGAGAGAGAAGCCCTTTTGTTGAAACCCTTGTTTTCTCCTGTTGTCGGGTAGAGCTCGATAAGAAGCTGTCTTTAGGTTTGATTCGTTTTATTTGGTTGGGTAGGTTTAGGGTCCTTTTGGCTTTCTCTAATTAGAAGCATTAATTAAACTGCTACAGTAAAGGCTATTCTCTTTGTCCCTGAGCTGTTATTGGGAGTGGGAAGAGAGGGGAGGGGGCATTGTTATGCCTAGGTTCCTGTACATCAGGGGTATCAAACTCAATAGCTGCTTTCACACCAAGTACTTTGCCGTACTTAGTCCCGCCGAGCTCTGTAGTCCCTGGAACTATCTAGTAGATCGCGTTCTCACCAGAATAAGTCCCTGAGGGAGGATTAGGCAAATGAAGCCGCTGACGTCACTTCTTCTTCTTCTGCTTTGGGTTTACTGGCAGGCCGCAAACAACTTCACGGCGTATACTGCCACCCGGAGTCCCCGAGTCCCCCGGAGTTGGGGACTGGCTTCAGTAGAAGCTGCTGGGTCGCGTCTCCCGAGTAAATCGCCAGAAGCGCCGACACCTCCTCATCACTCCCCCGCTCCCATGTTTTCTTTTGTGTTGCCATGTTGTTAGTCTCTCTCCGTTGGTGCGCTGGGCTAATGCTAATAATGCTAATGCGAGCAAATAAAATGGCGGTTTGCGATTCGCCCAGCCAATCAGAAATTGTTAGCGTGGCCGACACACCCACGAACCTTTTCCTCCCCAGGAAAGTACCACCTCTCTAGCAGGGACGATCTGGGGTGAAAAGGTTCGCACGAACTTGGGAGTAGTTCCAGATCCTTTTAGGTGTGAAACCAAAATCCCAAGAACTATCGGCCTAGTTCTTGGGAAAAGTACTCCGGTGTGAAAGCGCCGAATGACTTCATTTCATGTGGCCCGTATAAGCTCTGAAAGAATATAATACGTTTATTATACGGTTAGATGCCGCTTACAGAAGCACGTTGCCCATACACTGGAAAAAATGCTGCTCCAGAAACCAGTTCAACAATAATGAAAACAAGCTGTTTATTATTATCAGCTTGGAGAACTCATGTTGAACTATATTTCACCAGAATCAGGACATGCTCTGTTACAAAATGAGCTGCAAACGCTCAAAAGTGTTCTGTTTCCTGATGCTAGTTGGTGATTTTCTCATAAATATGTAAAAAGAATATGTGTTTCCTCTGAGATACAACTCAAAATAAGATGTTTTGACTGAACAAGATGATGCATTGTCTCAAAACAAGAGCCTATATCTCACTGCAGTGTTACGTCTGAAGTTATCATGTCTCATATCAGGTGGAGAGACATATTCTGACTAGATATTAGACACAGATACTGGGCAAGATTTCGAGTTTTTGTAGTGTAAACTACATGTCCCACAATGCATCTCATTTTGTGACATGCACTGAAGAGACTTCTGCTTTCAGACGAAGTTAATTATGAAGTTATTACCCTATCTGATAATAATCCAATGCAGAGGCAATAATGTAACATAATACATTATTTTATATATATGTATATTTATATAGTCTTAAAGTTACAACCGGCCCTCTGAGTGCAACCTTAATGCTGATGTGGCCTGCGATGAAATAGAGTTTGACACAACAGGAACAATACTGAGACGAGCCTCTTCCTGTGAGCGGTGAAGAGGAACGCTTCAATTCTCAGAAATGAAGCACGATGATAAAAATGCTGCAGTCAGTTTGAGACGCAGAGCTTCCTGTCCTCCTTTAGGGGCGGAAACCCACATTATAACGAGTACAAGATAACGGTTAAACATGTATCATGTGATTAACATGTGACTTCCTGTCTGCTGTGTCCGTTTCATTTCAACATGTAAAGGTAATAATGAAGAAAAACACACAGTAAATATCTTCAGAAAAACTTTATTGAGATTATAATTCAGCATAAGCACTTCTAAAGAATCATAGAGCATTGTTAGGTATTCATCAGCTCTGGATATGAAATGGTTTTAAGTGAAGAAGCTTTCATTTGAGAAGAAGCTCTGGTCAGATGTCAGTCCTGATGTTTCCCAGAGCAGACCTGAGCCGAGGAGAGAAGACACACATTTACTAAAAACAAATATATATAGTTATATCTTTATGAAAGTTTCAACACCTCCAGATACTTCACTGAAGCCCCTTCCTCACATGCACTCTGTTAGTTACATGTAAAGCAGTTATAAGAGACATAAACTCCTGGTAAATAATATTAAAAGCTATCAGTAAACACAGAGAGATTAAATATAGGACTTGTTTGTTTTAAAAAAGCTCATATTATTCACTCACTTTGTGCAAAAATAAACATTTTTTAGCCGTCTTACAGTACGCACAAAAGAGGGTTCATTAAACTACAGAAGTCTTTAAATGCTCCTTGTGTGCTGCAGCCTTTTATTAAATCTAATTATTATTGATTACTGTGTCTTGTTGTGTAACGTGACGTATTGCATGGCTGATCGGGGGTTTCTTAAACTGCATGCATTGATTAGTGCTGAAATAAAGCACAAGATGCTAACGTATACCTGCAGCCTCAGCATCAGAACCATCAGGAACCCGGAGAACCCGCAGCTCTTCAGGATCAGGAGAATGTAGAACAGCCGAGCGCCGTGAGAGACCCTCAGATATCTCTCTGGAGAACATTACAAATAATACTGGTGAAGAGACCCTCAAAGTTTAAATGAATAAAAACTGGAACAGAAAGTGTCCTCACCTCTCAGCGCTGCAGCTCCGGGTCCTGCAGACACACAAACACAACATATTTAGATATTTGAATTGTATTTGATCTTTTTTATTGCAATTTTTTTTATGTTTATATAAAAAATATTATTCCATTTTATTTGTATTATTTATTATATTGCACACTTTTATTTCAAATTGTTGTTTTCATTTAATATTTGTAATTATTTTTTATCTTTTTATTGCCCATGTTTTAGAGGACCGACCTTCCTCCCCCCCCACGGTGTGTGCTCGCTCCTCGGTTCGATTCCCGCGGCAGAAGCTGACGCTGCAGGTGAACGTCCTCTCCGGGGAGAACCAATCAGAGAGCAGCACCGTCAGCCGGCTGCTGGTGCTGAAGTGTTCTCCGTCCCACAATGCATCACTGTCGGTCGCCACGCCATCCGTCACATTATACCCGTCGACCAACCAGGACAGAGTCACCGTATCCGGGTAGAAACCAGACGCCACACACACCAACGTCTTCCTCTTCCTCCTCCTCTTCCTCTCGACTTCACACCTGGTTTCAGAGCTGGGAAGTAGTGGAGTACAAATACTTTGTTATTGTACTTAAGTACATGTTTCTGCTATCAGTACTTTACTCCACTACTTATTTTTCTGATGACTTTTTACTTTGACTTCTTACATGTTGAACCCAAATACCTGTACTTTCTACTTCTTACATGTTGAACACAAATACCTGTACTTTCTACTTCTTACATGTTGAACACAAATACCTGTACTTTCTACTTCTTACATGTTGAACACAAATACCTGTACTTTCTACTTGTTACATGTTGAACACAAATACCTGAACTTTCTACTTCTTACATGTTGAACACAAATACCTGTACTTTCTACTTCTTACATGTTGAACACAAATACCTGTACTTTCTACTTCTTACATGTTGAACTCAAATACCTGTACTTTCTACTTCTTACATGTTGAACCCAAATACCTGTACTTTCTACTTCTTACATGTTGAACCCAAATACCTGTACTTTCTACTTCTTACATGTTGAACACAAATACCTGTACTTTCTACTTCTCACATGTTGAACCCAAATACCTGTACTTTCTACTTCTTACATGTTGAACCCAAATACCTGTACTTTCTACTTCTTACATGTTGAACACAAATACCTGTACTTTCTACTTCTTACATGTTGAACCCAAATACCTGTACTTTCTACTTCTTACATGTTGAACCCAAATACCTGTACTTTCTACTTCTTACATGTTGAACCCAAATACCTGTACTTTCTACTTCTTACATGTTGAACCCAAATACCTGTACTTTCTACTTCTTACATGTTGAACCCAAATACCTGTACTTTCTACTTCTTACATGTTGAACCCAAATACCTGTACTTTCTACTTCTTACATGTTGAACCCAAATACCTGTACTTTCTACTTCTTACATGTTGAACACAAATACCTGTACTTTCTACTTCTTACATGTTGAACACAAATACCTGTACTTTCTACTTCTTACATGTTGAACCCAAATACCTGTACTTTCTACTTCTTACATGTTGAACCCAAATACCTGTACTTTCTACTTCTTACATGTTGAACACAAATACCTGTACTTTCTACTTCTTACATGTTGAACCCAAATACCTGTACTTTCTACTTCTAACATGTTGAACCCAAATACCTGTACTTTCTACTTCTAACATGTTGAACCCAAATACCTGTACTTTCTACTTCTAACATGTTGAACCCAAATACCTGTACTTTCTACTTCTAACATGTTGAACACAAATACCTGTACTTTCTACTTCTTACATGTTGAACCCAAATACCTGTACTTTCTACTTCTCACATTTCCCAAACAGGCTGGTTCCTTTAGTTTGAATGTGTGTTTGGTGGCGTGATCATTATTATTTAGAGTCATTGCGTGCCTATTGATTTGAACACGATCCGTGTATCCATCATTTCCTGGTCTTCTCTAAAGAAGAGGGACCAATGAAAACGTTGTCATGTTGCCGTTGTTCAGCATGGAAACATTCATTAGCTAACAATGACATTATTGTTCTATTAATATAAAGGGAGGTCAGGTACTCTTTAAAACAGCTGCTAGTTATGGGTACTTTTTACTGAAGTACACTTCAAAGCCCTCTTTACTTTTACTTGAGTAAAGAAGTTTAGTCAGTACTTATACTTTCACCAGAGTATTTTTAAACACCAGTATCTGTACTTCTACTTGAGGAAAGGATGTGTGTACTTTTGCCATCTACCTGGTCGTACACCTGTCCTCACACTCTCTCTCTGAGGGGGGAAACACTCTCACCGCGGGGGGCGTGACGGTGCGATTAGGATCTGAGAGGGGAGGAACACAATTAGAAATGTAAAACATATTGCAAAAACTACAAAAAACAAAAATATGACAATATTAAGATAATTAGATATGTGCAGTATTTAGAAGAGCAAGTAGAAGCAAAGAGAAAAATAAATGTTAGACCATTTTTTTTAATGCAATGTACACCGTTTTGCAATCTATAATAGTTATCTTTTTATTTGTTATTGTTTTATTTGATGTACCCTTAATGGTCCCACAGAGGGGAAATGTACATTCTGCATTTGACCCATCCTAGTGTTAGGAGCAGTGCCTTGCTCAGGGACACCTCGGTAGCACTTGGTCCTTCCGGGAGTTGAACCGGTGACCTTCCAGTTGCTAAGCCACTTTGCCACCACCGCCCAAATTGATATTATCAATAATAATGTTTATATTGCATTTGAATTAAGAGCTTCTTTAAGGTACTCAAAGACACTTTACAGGGTAAAACCCCCCACCCTTACTGCTTCTTAATGTTCACCTGCTTTATGTATAAATCTGCTTATTTTCTACCAGAGATGTTGAGGTGCATGTATTTCTTTGTAAAGACAGTCCCGTTATTCTCTGCAACTTCAAAGTTAATAAAGACAATATCACTTCGGATATGAGTTATACATATATACATATATGACCGTAGCTGTCAGTATTCTGCCATTAGCAAACGACAAGCATGGTAACATTTACACACAAATACTGTATAGAAACCACCTGGTTCAACTTTGACTATTATTCAAATTTCATCCAATTTCATGCATTTTTACACATTTTCGAAACATTTTTAACGCCAGTTTCAGAGAACAATGGGACACCTTCAATCCATACCTGGTAAATATTACCCAGCTTACTTTGGGTCATACATTATCTGTTTATATTTTACATATTGTTTTACCTTACCTTAATGCTTACTTGAAGTTCCTGTCTGTAATGTTGTGTCTGCAGGAGAGCAATAATAAAGAGCCAACTCGGACGCAAAAACCCTGAACGAGTGAAACTCAAATAACTTCTGTCTCTTACCATATCAAGCTGGAATACGTTATGTTAATAAAATCCCCCACATTTTAGCCCACTACCCCTCATCTAAAGACACTTAATTTAAATGTGTGTTTCTCCTTTTCTTACCCAACACGATGACTTTAGTTCCAGCTCCAAACTGAGCCGCGGCCAATGAACACGGAGCTCAAACACCGACACAAAACGCTGAGAGAAAGAGATGCTCTACGCCTTTCCTCCACCTTCACACACTCTGACTTTAGTAAGGCTTTGGTCGTACGTTATAATGAGTCGACCCGTTCAGATAGAGGTCACGTTTTTAATCCACAACACGTGATATTCAAGACATTTTAATGATGATTTAAGTCATTCTGATAGCACTTAGTCCTTAATGTCTGTCAGACTTTGGAGTGTCTTTACATGGGATCAGATCCCAACAAAACATATGATATTAATTACATAGTTCCCTTTATTTCCCTAAAACAACATCCTTGTTATTCAGTGTTTGATTGGGCTTAAAGCACTGCAAGGATCTTCTGTACCTGTATTCTGCTTTCCAGGTGGATTATTAAGTAGAACAGCTGGTTTCTCATCAAGAACAGTCACTTTTGTGCCCGTGCTGAAATAAGCTTCGTAATGAGCACAGCGAACATGCTTGATATCAAAAACCATCGGACTAGGACCACAAAGCTGAAGGAACCAGAACTTATCCAACCGTTATTCAGCATTTGATTGGGTTTTAAGACACACATGGCTGTCCTCAGAACAGCTTAAGGAACTGCAAGGATCCCACACACACTGTAGAGTATATTCTGCTTTACAGGTGGATTCTTTGGAGGAAAATCTGGTTTCTTACTCACCAAGAAGATGAGGAATACAAAAGGCCGATTGGAAAAGAAAACAGAACTTATCCAACAGTTCTTGACTCGTTGTTTCCTAAAACAGTCCGTCAACATGCATCTCCTCTTTCTTTCTCCACCAAATTATCTCTGGACCTTTTGCATGTTCTGAAATGTGCTTTGTGAAATTGAACCCGTCTTAAATCTGTATAAGTATTACCACTTTCTTGTCAATTTGGCAACTTTCGGAGCAACTGTTGCTTTCTACTTTCATAGAAGAGCGTTTGCATGATCTGAAATGCTTCTAAGACATTTCCAAAACCCTAAAGTTAATATCAACCAGCGTCTCAAACTGTTGTGTTAACGAGGTTAGGTTTAGATTTAGTCAGAGTTATCCGACTGCTAGGTAGGCAGACAGTTCTTCCTTCAATTTCTGACGATATAAACCTCATTTGTGATGAATTGAAGTTGTGAAAATCACCAACTTACCCAGAACAGTGAGTTTAGTCCCTGGTCCGAAGTGAGCTTCAGCTGCAGAGTCACTCTGAGAGCATCCTCGACCAGAAAGGAACAAAACGTCCTAATCACTGGTGCATTGAAACCCAACAATCTTTGATATTTCTGCAGTATTTGTACAAAAAACGGCATTAAATGTTGTAATTTTGCTCATTTTTCTTTAAGAAGAGTGGAGAAAAACCCATCTTCTGCTAATTGTGTTTCATCCCAATCACTGGTGCATTGAAACCAAGCAATCTATCATATTTCTGCAGTATTTGCAAGAATAACGGCATTAAATGTTGTAATTTTGCTCGTTTTCTTGTCCAAAAACCCCAGATTCTGCTATCTTGGTGTGTTTGCTTTCCTTCCCAACACGTTTCCACATTGAAACGTTGCTTCAGTTTGCTGTCAGAGCTTTTTGTACGGCGTCTCCGCTGGGATGCATCACCGTGCCCCCTGTCCTCACAGTGAAACAGCGTTACACAAAAACCTGACTTCTCTTTCTTTCCTCCCCCCCCGAGATATTCCTCCTCCATATCTCAGCCTCCATCTTTGTGTCTGCAGCTCCGACATGAAGCCGCTATTTCAGTCTCTGCTAAGAAAAGAAGCAGAAAGCAGGAAGAGGAACTGACTTTGTTCAGAGTCTGCACACAGGAAGTGACATCGCTACTGGTCTCTTCATCCCACCCAGTTTAAAAAAGATCTTTATTGCAGTGACGAGGATTTGTGGGTTTCTTACACCCAATAAATGCATTCTGCTTCAGCTTTCAGTGATAAGAGGGAATCACGAAGACTTAAAATGAGCTTTAAAAACCAATAGTTTTGGTGTAAAAGCATCTAAAAATGGTGTAAATGACATAAAACCAAACTACAGTAATGATCTGAATCCCTGCACTTTGGATTAATGTAAGCTTTGCAGAAGTCTTTACAGTATAATAGATGCTAAGAAAGTGTTTATTGTTGCTTATCGACACGCTTTCTGCTTAGAAACCAATAGTTTAGGTCTTGCAGTGGCTTAAAATTGTATAAATTACAATAAACCAAACTAGAGTAATGATCTGAGACATGCGTTGTGAGAACATGTTTTAAGAACTCATTCATTTGTAAATGAATATCACATTTTCTGAACTTTCGTATACGTTTTGGAAAACGTAATAAAAATGCTTTTGTCAACGCCACGGTCATGCCACGCCCTCAATCGAGAATACCGCGGTGTGAGACTTCCTGTTCCTCTTTGCAGCGATTCTTCAGCAGTTGGACACGTGTTTGCGTTGGATCCTCCTCAAACCATCGTAAAACAAGTAAGCATGCCACCTGAGTTATTAATTACTGCTTTTTAACTAGCAAGTTATTTACTTTTCTTGTATTCACTGTTTTGAACGAAACATCGACATTTGAATGCATGCCAGCGCCATTACTGCTGTTAAAGTTAGACTCAGCCCTGTCCTGCTCATGTAGTCTATTTTTTCGCGCAAATGGTGTTGGGCAAAGTTTGCATCAAGTGCTTACCGACGCAATTCTGTTAAAAGTGGTTAAGTTAAGAGTAGGCTATGTATTAAGAATCAACTCCGCAAACTGTTCCCCTATGCCGCTCTAAGCGTTGGCCCGGGCACCGTGATGCGGCCGCGGGGCTCAGAGGCTCTCCTGCCGTGCATGTTGTGCGGTAAAATACCTCCGTTAAAACTATTCTCTACTACTTTATAACCCAGCGGTTATGTAAGAGTAAGTTACTAATGCGCTGATTTGATATGAATTCCTCTATATGTATTTCACCGTTTGTTTTACTGTGAGCAATGAATTGCTCTTTCTACACCCTGTAGCGAGTAAAACTCTAACACAGAAAATACCTCCCCAAAACGCCTCGTTGGAGATACGTCACTGCCCATTTGAGTCTTCCATTTAGTTCCGGGTACGGCCTGATGTCAGCCTAACATTTACTGTTGGAAGCTCTGGTTCAGTTCACAATCGATCCAGTCATGCCAATGCCAAGGTTTCCTGAAATGTGAGGAGAAATCTGAGCTGTTTGTCCTACCGACGGAAGAACCACGACGAAGTCAGTGGTTGAAATTTCTGTTTAACACTGTTCCTTCAGAGGTTCGAAGAACCGGCATTTCACAGACGAAAGCTTCCAAAACATTGCCCAGTTTGAGGCCGGATATGCACAGCATTTGAAACTGATGGACGATGCTATTCGTTTGTTTGGACCGTTTGGAGCAGGGGAAGATTCGGGTACACAACCTGTAAGTTTGCATTGTTATTTGTGTATTTATCAAACAAGGTATCTACCACGACTGTTTAAATGTGTAAACATGTTTCGGACTGCTAAGCCAGTGCTAACTGTGCTAACTAAGTTGCTAGCGTTTCCATATCAACTCTAATATCAGCAGATGGCCTTACATACATGTATCTCATAGCAGGAGAATGTCTGCATTCACACACCAAATACTCATAGACAGTATACTCCGGGTGATTTACCGTACGGTCAGTACATTACAGTTGGCTTTCCTCCGAGCTACGCTGATAGCATGTATAGCTAACGAGGCTAGCTATACATGCTAGCGGGAAACATTGTATTCATGCCAGTTACAATGAATGACCGAACGTAGCAGACTACCCGTATAAGATTGCAATTATAAACACGTTATTGCTAGCCTAATATGAACCACTAGCTTTTGTTCATAGTAGTTTTATTACACTCCATTATAGTTGCCGTTCCTCCGAGCTAACGTTCATATCGTGTTTGCTACCAAGGTAAACAAGAAAGCTAGGTTAGCATATTAGCTGGCAAGCTTACTGTGTTGATTAGATAGATGGATTAGATAGATCCACACTCCTACCACAACTACTACAAACGAATCTAAAACAACTAAGTTTCTCTAATATTTTGTGATTTGCATTTGATTTCGTCCAGCCAGATCCTGGCGGACAATACATGACGGGACTACCACACTGAGGCCTCATCCTAAAAAGCCCCGGCTGCGATAGGCAAGATGCCGACAACGGGGAGGAATGGATGAGATACCGTGTATATATGTATATTTATGTTCATTTTGTACATTTCTAAAAATAAAGTTTAATGGAAATACTTAGTAGGCCTATCATTTCTTCCCTGAATTATTTGCTCCTATAACATATCATTCATATATAGCAAACCATGATTTGATTTCTCATCAAACAGTAGTAGTTTATTACAGGTAAAAATAACTTATTCTTCTATAACAACAGTTGTAGGTACAGTTCGGTTAGTTAGCGTATAAAATATACGGCTGTACCGACGCCATTATAAGACTGATGTTCCGAGAGCGAGCCGAAAAAAGCACTGTTAGACATGGGCGGAGCCTCTCTGGTGGTTGACTAATCAGAACAGATTGGCCGAGCTGACCAATCGGAGCACACTAGGCTCACAGGGAGGGGGGGGCAAGAGCTCCAACGAGTCGTTTAGTGGAGAGAGTGAATACTGCTGAATACACATACTTGACAGAGATGCTGTATGCGAAACCAATGTGAGTTTGGAAAATTGCACAGTATAAATCTATTTTAGTATACCTCAACAATGGAATTATGATCAGTGGAAATGGCCATGACATGGGCCCTTTAAGGTGCATTCAGGCACAATTCAGTAAAAGTGTATAGAGCCCCTCCTCCAACACACACGAACGCGCACATGACCAATGAGGGCACGAGATAAGTTTGTGCACAGATGGAAGGCTGACAGGCAGGTAGGCCATCCAGTTATTTTAGCCGGGCCGGCTCAGATGATTGGTCGTACTTTTTACAGTACTACAGCTTCCACAGATGATATTTATTTATGGATTTTTTGTCAAAGCACTTCAGATATTCATTGCTATCTGGATGTTAAGAGCATTCCATGGAATATAACAAAAAGTGTATCTCGAGCCGGTTTCTCAAACTTACCTACCCCACCTTTAGTTAAATATCTGCCACAACATAAGTAACCGGATCAGAGTAACATTAAGTACAGTCCACTGTGAGTGCAGACGTCGATGTGTCCCATTATCATTCATATCATATCACATCATAATGTATCATATATCTCCTTATCTGAGTCAGCTGAGCCGTATCTGGCCGTGCAACACTCACAGTGTCACATACTGGATGCAGAAGTATTATTTTAAGCAACACATTAAGTTGACGAAACACTCGAGTCAAATGTAATTAAAGTCAGATCGTGTCTGCATTCACATCCGTCCTCTTCTCTGCTGCGCACCACACGACAGTTTGTTACATTGTTTCATTTTTCAGAAGGTTCGGTTTGCGTTCACACGGGCAAAACTCAAACGGACTATAAACTTTAAACACAAGTCATGTGCACGGAAATGCTGTTCAACCATTGGTCAGACATTAAGGGGGTAAAAACGCAAATCCCGGCAATTTCTACCGGAGCCTCGGCCATGGAGCATCGGCAGGTTATTCTCATGCTGCTGTTCATCTGGAGATCAACAGACTCTAGCAGACGGCGCATATGATTATATAATCAGACAACGTCCGTTAAAAAACATTATAACACATATAATGAGAGACGTTCTGCAGTAAGGAGGGGGTTTCACCGACGGCAGGTGGCTCTGACTTTTATGTATAGTTTTTTGTTTGATAGTTGTTTTTACTTTACACGACACTGTTCAACACTTCATTCTGCTTCACTCTTTCACTAAAGAAATGAAGACACCCGCGTTCTTGTGACACGTAAATACTACGCTTCCTATGTTTTGGTGCGGATTGCGTTCACACCAGCAATGAACCGCTCCAGAGTTCGCAAGCAAGCGTTCCGAGACCACCTATTTTAGCGGACCAGAGTCCGGTTGTTTAATTCACTTAAGAGGTCTCGGACTGTGTTCACACCGACCCAAATGAACCGCACCAAGCGGCTAAACGCACCAGGGTTCGATTCAACCGGACTATAAAAGGCTGGTGTGAATGCACCCTTAGACGGGGCAGTGATATCATAAACCTGTTAATGTACGCATTCAAACACTTTTTCTGTTACCAGCTGTATTCACCTTGCAGGTGCAGCTATGTGGCTTTGATCCTGGATAAAGTGTTTAAGTCATGGATGTTTAAAGTTTAACTTCTTCATATTTGACTAATATTAAAGTTCACTTTTCATTCAGGAAGTATGACGCTGCGCTGTCAGTACGCTTGTCCATGTTTGAGATTGGTCGAATGCTCCAAATACCACCCCTTTCATGTGAATGCGCACCTAACTAGATAGGACACGGCTGGCTTGAGCGATCCACTTGATAACCAGCATCGTAGTTCAGCTTAGCGAGAGCGCGTATGTTTTGGATTGGGCCAACCGGCTAACTCAAACATATCCAGGTTAGGTTGAACCAGCTTCGTAGTACAGGCCTCTGAGCTCCTCCAACAATGCAACATATATAATAAAATAAAAAAATAGTGCAAGAAGTCTATATACATGTAAATAGAATATGATATGTAGGTTTTAGACCTGATGCTGCAGTACCAGAACAGTTTGTTGCTGGCGTGAAGGGGGTCTTTGTGTGCAGCTGTAGTTGTTGTCAGAGTGTGTGTGTAGTTGTTGTGTGTCCTCAGAGTGTGTGTGTAGTTGTTGTGTGTCCTCAGAGTGTGTGTGTAGTTGTTGTGTGTCCTCAGAGTGTGTGTGCAGTTGTTGTGTGTCCTCAGAGTGTGTGTGCAGTTGTTGTGTGTCCTCAGAGTGTGTGTGTAGTTGTTGTGTGTCCTCAGAGTGTGCGTGCAGTTGTGTGTCTCAGAGTGTGCGTGTAGTTGTGTGTCCTCAGAGTGTGCGTGTAGTTGTTGTGTGTCCTCAGAGTGTGCGTGTAGTTGTTGTGTGTCCTCAGAGTGTGCGTGTAGTTGTTGTGTGTCCTCAGAGTGTGTGTGTAGTTGTTGTGTGTCCTCAGAGTGTGTGTGCAGTTGTTGTGTGTCCTCAGAGTGTGTGTGTAGTTGTTGTGTGTCCTCAGAGTGTGCGTGCAGTTGTTGTGTGTCCTCAGAGTGTGCGTGTAGTTGTTGTGTGTCCTCAGAGTGTGCGTGTAGTTGTTGTGTGTCCTCAGAGTGTGCGTGTAGTTGTTGTGTGTCCTCAGAGTGTGTGTGCAGCACGGTGGGAGGCTGGCAGCACAGAGGTAAAGGTCTGAGTCGGCAGCCTCCACCCTCTGGATGTTCAGAGAGGAGCTGAGCACCGTGGGCCGGCTCATGGAGAACCTGGAGGACTTAAAGGGGTCTTCGAGGTCCGTGAGGCCTGTATTCAGAGAGTAGACCACCAGCTGGAGACGCCCCTCAGCTCCCTGTCGGTACCAGAACATACGGGTGTAATCTGCATCGTCCTGATCACACTGCAGCGCCGCAGAGTCTCCGTCACGCACCACAGCAAACTGAGGCTGCTGGAGGAGAGTACAGCTGCAGAGAGCTGGACATAGAGGGAACAATACTATAAAGAAATGTTTTATTTGTAAAGAAAGGTGCACTTCAGCTCGGGGAGATGTTCTTACTGAAGCAGAGTAGCAGAGCCAGAGAGAGGAGCTCCATCTTCTCTGACTGACAGTCGTTAGAAGAGATGTCTGGAGGAGGCGTGTGGCGCAGTGGATAGAGCCTTGGTGTTGGGATCAGGGGGTCACAGGTTCAAACCCCACTGCAGTCAGCATGTCGTTGTGTCCCTGAGACACTTCACCCCAAATTGCTCCTGTGTGGATTGCCCACAGTATTGAGTATGTAAGTCGCTTTGGATAAAAGCGTCTAACAAGTGACATGTGATGTCTGATCCTCTGTGGTGTCACTTCCTGTTTCCTGTTCACCTGCACGCTGCGGCTAATTCTTATCAGTCTGTGCTTTTCAATTGGGGTTTTGCATTATTTTGTGTTTGATATTGTTTCTACATCAAGTATGAGAGTGTTTATGAGTATGCTTTTATTGTCTTGGTTTTGTCTAAATGTATTCATAGTGCTTTTTAGATATTTATTGATGTACAGCACTTTGGTCAGCTTTGTTGTTTTTAAATGTGCTATATAAATAAAGTCGGATTAGATAATGCTAAAGAGCGCCGTCTCTTAATATAGACAGAGAGAGAGACTTCCAACATATCTATCTGCGTTTCTCAACTCAGAATAAATCACGTTAAGTGGGCCGGAGAAAAATAAGAGAAACTCTCTCTGGAGGTTTTTTTCGCCTCTGCAGACCATTTACATGCACTAACACCTATAGACTACAGGAGAGGAAGAGGGCCTCTAAATATCTGTCTATCTTCCTGTCATTATCTAAGTAATCTTGCAAAGCACCTATAACGGTACGTCCACACGGTTCCGTCGCGTGCTTCAACGGAGACGCTTCCCATTCACTTTGAATGGGGTGACGGCAAGCTTTGCCGAACTGCATTGTGGTTTCGTCGCGTGGCTTTGCCTCCGGGGCTCGCACTGAAAGTTCAGAAAAGTTCAACTTATCAAGCGTCGACGGAAGCGCCAGCCAATCAAATCATATGCCAGTACAAGCTCTAGCCAATCAAACTGTGTGCTTGTGTGTCCGGGGCGGGAGATTAATGTGATTGGTTGTTGGTTGCGCACCAGACACGCCCACCGGCATGCTTCAACGTGACGGAACCGTGTGGACGTACCGTAAGCCTTATCAGTGTGTGCTTTTAAATTGGGGTTTTCTACATCATGTGTGAGAGTTTTTAAGACATGCACTAACACCTATAGAATACACTACAGGAGAGGAAGAGGGCCTCTAAATGTCTATCTATCCCCCCCCCCCCCCCCCTGTTATCTGACTTCCTGCGTGTGGTTTCTGCAGGTTTTCACAGTCACACTAATGTTTTTGTCGGGGACTTTGTGGGTTTGTATCGAGGTGCGACTATAGGCTGCACAGAAGTAATGCCCGCTGTGTGAGGGACGCCTCAGGCGGAGGACATGAAGGAAAGCCTCTGTCTCCCCGTCTCCACTCATGTTAAAGAAACCCTGGAAAGGCTTCTCAACCACTTGGACTTTAGTGTATCTGGTGAAGCCGATCAGCTGCAGAGAGGTTTCCCCTGGAGGCCGGAGGAACCACAGGATGGAGTCGAAGCCGTTGATGCTGTGTCTGCAGCTCAGCTTCGCCTCAGCGTGTTCCTCCGTCAGAACCACAGCTGGAGTCTGAAACACATCTGGAGACACTCCTGCAGCTGGGAGACAAACATCATGAGTGTCATTTCATCTATGATCAACTTTAAAGTGTTGAAGCAGAAATGAATAACCCACCTTTGACCCAGAGGAGTGGGATAATTATCACAATATAAGCGCAGTGCATGTTGAAGACTCTCCTCTGTGTGTTCAGCAGGAAGTGGAAGTGATGTGTTGCATCTCGTGAGGAAGAAGAAGGTTTAACGTCAAAGGCAGGATGTCTGATACGCTGACAATCAAGTGCTTTCAGGCAGAAGAAAATACATGTTTATCACTGCCACACGTTTCTAAATGCTGCATGTGTTGTCAAGTTGCTGAGGATGATTCTTCATGTGGAACATTTGTGTTTCTATATCTGCATCCTTTCTGTTGGCCACTGTAGTTAGACCTCTTATGAACTAACACCTGTGAAACTCCAATAATGTAAACTCAAATAAACAGGACTAATCACAAGGATGAGACACAGGTGGGGAGGGCAGAGAAACTCAGGTGAACACAGTCAGGTGATCGACCAGGAGGGAAACACAGAGACAGGAAGTAAAACCAGACGTAACCAAGCCCCCAGGAAGTGCGCCGGACTCAGATGAAAATATTGTGCTGGCCAAACGGCGGTACTACACTTCCTTTTGGTTGCCAGGCCCAGAAACACTTTTTCCCATTGACTTACATGGGGAAAGAGTGGTCTGTAAATCGTTGGATAATTTTTTTAAACTAAATAAACTACCCAGTATAAACACTTGTATAGCCCTTATTAAAAACATTCGTTCCTCAAGTTGTAAAAATGTGCTAATAATGTTATTCTGTGAGTTATTTCCCTTTGCATTATGAACGCGCATCTAACCCACGGGACCGCGCCGCCCGGCACGTTCATGTTACGTGTTCAGCACTACATGAGTTTATCTTTACCCATGGATGCACAATAAGAACGGACCCATATCGCCTTACTGCCAGCCCACGGAGCTGTAATAATGGATATATTGCACATGTTTGCTGTAATTCATCATTTGTAAAATATTATACTACATGGGCTGTATGATTAAATCTTGTACCGTAAATGTTGTATTAAACAAAGTTAATATTACCGACGTAGATTAACGTCCCTGTAGCTTCTTATTGCACTAAGAAGCTTATTGCACTGTATATATATATATATATATATATATACAGTGCAATAATTCTTTCATGCTAAATGAAGCTCTGTTGCTTGGATATCACTAGATCCTGTTACAGCGTAATATAAAAGTACATAACGATTGATGTGTAAATTAGCATAATTACTAGCTAACCGCTAGCTGCTAACTGCCGCCTCGTTAATATCAAATCTATCATAATAACAAACCATTACCATGCTGTCATGAACGTGCGGTGCTGTTACGTGTACGCAAATTGACGTGCTTGATGTGAACGAGCATTTTGGGGGGCATGGTTAAAGTTGCGCATGCGCTATGAGCGCACATACGGGTACTTCTCAGGCATGCTGGGTAATCTGTGACGTTTCGCTCTCTCAAAAGTTGGGCCATTTTATCATCATGCGCGAATGAGCAACTCTCATAGGAATGAATGAGGCCCCGCCTCCCACGCTGTATCCAGTTCTTATTATACATCCATGGACGTAACACACGGGGTGAACACTTTTAAGAAACAGGGAAACACAGACACAAATCGTCTCATTTGAGATTTACAAGTTAGTTCTGTCTTAAAAAACGTTGCATGAAAACGTTTGATGTCCCCACAACAGTTGTTTTAATGTACGTTATTTGCATTTAATATATTGTTCATATAGCAGACATGTGACTCTATCCGTAGAGACAAACACTGCCCCTACTGGATATTAAAAGCATTGCCTCACCCTGGAGTGTTGTCAGTTTGTGTTGCTGTGTTTAGAGCAGGTGATCCTGTGTGTTCTTTAGGGTTTTTGATAAACACTGAAGCAATGTGTATCATTGCGTCGTACCGAGCGTCAGGATCAGGTCTCTGTGACCGGGCTGCAGGTCATCTGGACTCAAAGCAGCCGGGTCCTGATGAACTGTTTCAGCTGAGAGCTGAATTAGAGGATGTGCTGGAAATTCCACACTTAATCACCTTCTGGTAAGAAAAGAACAAATATACAATCTTAAACCAAAGTTGTGTTATTTGATAGCGAGTTATAGCATTTAAAAGAATCTATGTATTTCCAGCTGGAAGGACAGATAACCTGAACCTCCATCAAACAAATGACACGACTCAAAAGATGGGAAGGGGAACAGCCAATGAAATTCTACATTACAGGGTATTGAAGATTTGTGTCTTGACCAATCTTAAGTTTTGACATGTTAAGTATAACCGATGATAATTTGCCCGCCAACAGTCACAGTGGCACCTGCTGTCTGTTGAAAGCTAGAGAACAAGAGGCAGCCAGTCTGTGTATTGAAGGTGTGAAGAAGCCTGGGAGTGACAGCCGTAGTTTACATCAGAACTGATACATTTAAAGTTCTATGATAGAGGAGATAACACGTTGGATTTATATGATTATATAACCTTTGAGTTCATGCATTACCTGCTGCACAGCGCACAGGAGCAGCTAGGAGTGTTAGCAGTGTGATTAGCATATTTGTGTTGAAGAGTGTAATCTGAACAGAGCTGTGAAGATGGGAGTAAGAGAGAGTGCACACCCCTACACATCTGATAGGCCACCGGCAATGTAAAGTGCTACAGGCCCAAACCCAACCCCGACCCTCCACCCTTCCTGACTCCCTCTCTCTCTCAGCTGACTGACGCCTCTTCTTTATTCTGATGCTAACACTTTCCTACTTTTGCTTACTGTAGGTACAATTTGCATGAATGAATGCAGGACTTCTACACTTTTAAAATCCTGCTAACACTTTCCAACTGTTGCTTACTTTGAATGCATTACCTTCTGAGTATTTCTACACTTTTAAAATCCCTGTCCCTCTGTGTGTCCATCTCCATCTCTTCTACCCCTGTTCACCTGCACTCCCCCCTCATCGCCACCCTCAGTGTGCAGGACTTCCTGTCAGACAGAGGCTCCTCTGTGAGTGAAACTGGAGAGCATTCCTCTGCTCAGGCCTCAAATAAAGACAGAATCCTGCTTTCCCCCCCCTTTCCAGGTGGACAATCAGGGTCTTTGTGCAGCCGGTGCCAGGCTGGACCCCCGAGCCGGTCCACCTTCAGTCCTTCAGTCCTTGCAGAGGTGGAAACACTGGGAATATCATGAGTGAAGGAATATTAGTTTCTCGATGGATCTTGGATTTTTAAAACCTTTCCAATTTGGATTTACTCTCCTGGATGAACCATCTGCAGCTCAGGGATGATCTGATCACAACATGGAGGTAGGCCACGGCTATGACTTCCTTTCTATTACATATTGTGCAGAGTGACCTGTCAGGAGCGTCAGTTTCTGAGCGTTCACTCTTAGAGATAATGTTGTTTTAGAGATGTCCAGATTAAAAGCATCACT